GCATAGTGCTATTGCACAAAATACCTTGCATAGCGCATCTCACTTATACACACGTTTCTCTGTCGGAACTCCCTTAGTTGCTATAGGTTTTAAGCCCTTCACGCTATTGCTCCCCTTGCTTATTAGTAGGGAGTTGCTTCATTAGCAGTCCTCTTGGGTCGAATATTACGCTCACGCCTATTTAGATAAGTAGCGCTAGTTGCTGACCACCTAGTAGCTATCTCTCTTTCACAACTGGAACCCACCACGAGGGGGCCATTTGAAGCTGGAAGGCATACCATCTAGATCTACTGAGGCCCGAAGACCTTGTGACCTTAGCGACATTTCACAAGAAGACTTTTTCTACTCAGTAATAGAAACTACCAATGAAAAGTCAAGCACACTGCACTCGACTCGCAATCCTGCTCATCTTTAGAAGCTACTGTTATCTGACACCTTACTCCTGACTCACCTGACTCCACCTCCAAAGAAGAGGAAGAACCCCTTGGACACTTAACATTACAATACCTTCCGCTCCCTCGAGCTCCCTTCGTTTACATAGACACTCCCTCCACCACATCATCACTCACCCCTTCTACTCCATCTCATGACAAGTCTCCTGAAAGGCAAAAACTTTTCATACCTGCCTCCTTTATACCTACCTCTATCTCATCTCTGTGCAAGCGACTAAACACTCTACCCCTATCTGTACCTAACCCTGCAATCCATATCGTGTCTTCCTCGACAGCACTGCCTACTATCACCCTTCCTCCAGTCGTACAACCCACTCAACCCACTATCATGTCATTTGCACCATCCAAGATGCCTCTTAGAGGAACCAATGTAGTGCCAAAGTTCAATAGCACGCCAACGCACCTCATACCCTTCTTTGAAGATGTGGAACTACTAGCTGACTATGCAGGACTTACCATTGAGCAGCGCATTAAGGCTGCTATCCAATATGTGTTGTGACAATCATATTGGCGCTAGGCATGTATACCTGCATAAGCCTTCAATAGGTGGACCAAAGTTATCCCTCATATCATTCACTACTCCCCTATCAGCAGTCTTTACTTGTCTCAGCCATAACCCTTGTCCGACGCTATTCCACACTTTCCCACACTATGTGCGCACATTCCCACAGCGCTATTCATGCTCCCGCAACTTATCTGACGCTATTCCTGGCTTATAGCGCTATCAGAACTACCAGCAATGTGTCTATAGGAGCATTAGTGCATGTCCACTCTATCTAGCGCTTGTTCCCACGCTTAGCGCTTATCCAGCGCGCTGTTCTCGCGCTCTAAGTTTCACCCGAAATGTTGGAATCCATCCATTGTCCATCCTACCTCATTGGTATGTAATTTGCCTTGCCTTGAGTTTGTAACAAGTGCTACAGTCTTATTACATGTATATCCTATCCCTTCCGAGTCTGAGATGGTAGAGTTTACTAGTATAAGAAGCCTATGGTGACTACTTTGACATTATTTCCCTTCGACTGTATTTCCTTCCCCTTAGGTTTTACTTAGAAGTAGTCACCCTTTAGTTGCGCTCTATGGCCCCTATTTGACTTTCCTTACCCTTGCAATCAATACCTTGATCTCACTCGCTATCCATTACCCTCCTTTGACCCAGAGTCCGCTTTCTTGACTTCTGCTCTTTCCCGCGCATTAGCGCTCTATCTTGCGACATGCTATTCCCATGCTAATGCGCTCTTTCAGGTCTTTCTATCTTAAGTAGTCTTTAGTAGCTTTTCCCTTGGGTTGAACATTCTTGCTTTATTGTTTGCAAGTATAGCAGCATAGGCAGAGCTTAGACATATACTGGCTGAGTACCTTAACAAGTGCCTAGTCAGGTTGTGTTTTTCACAGCGCCCTTTGACGAATCAGAAACATGGGCTTCTAGACCCGCTGCAAAAGGTAAAGATTGGGATAAGTTTGTTGATGCCATCAAGGCTATGTACCCTGGATGCGAAGACGATTGTCACTATGCATGCACTGACTTAAAGAACCTTTGCAGAGAACATGTCTGCAAACCAATTTGCTCAAAGGAAGAACAGTTCTACCGCAAGTTCCTTCATGTCTTGCAATACCTCCTAGACAATAAGAGGATAGTGGAACTTGAGCTCGGTTGCTACTTCTTAGAGGGTATTCACTTCACGACTAACACTACAATCAAGTGAAGGCTAGAGATCACGCTTGTCAACCATCATCCTGATGACCTGTACACCTTGGAAGAGGTATACAATGCAGCGGTATTCTTGCTACCAAGTATCATGCATATGGCAGTCGCTGTTTCACCTCCTAGTGCACCTGCAGCTAACTCACAGCAATCTGCACCTCAGCAACCTGCTACCAGAACTGTGGTAAAGAGGAGTATAGCCAGATGCAATCCAACAATGCATGTTACTTTTGCAGAGGAGATCATTACACAAACCACTGCGCCTTACGCAACCAATACACCAGCGAGGGTAAGATCCATATCACGCCAGAAAAGAGGATCATTATGCCTGATGGTAGCAACATCCCTGGAAAACTCTCTGATGGAAATTTTAAGGAGCGCATAGACAACTTCTTATGCGATGGTCCTGCTATGGGTTCCAACATGACAGCACTAGGATTGATATATTGTCATGCCAAGCCCTCTACTCAAGCGACTCTTGATATTGAACCTTGTGCGTTCATGCACATGTGCACCAGTGTAGAGGAAGACAATTCAGACGATGAAGAACTAGCCCGCTGTCTTACTACTTGAGGGTCTTATATGTTTTCGTGTAAAATGCAGTGACACCACAACTACACTTAGATAAGACAAAAGCTGCCAACTCCTCAAGTACATGGTCAATGGATTTTCTACTTCTCTGTTGATAATGTGGTGTTCATTGGAGGCAAGACTATACAGTTGGTCATTTGGCTGAAGCAATGGATAAGATAGACTAGATAGGTTGTGACTTGGGATAGGAAAATCCTTGGAATATCGCTGATAGACTTGATTGACTTGATACAGGAGGTAAACTTTGGTGGGTTGCACCAGAGTTTAACAAAGAATGAATAGGCTAAACACACAGATACTTCAAGCTGGAAGGGTGTGTGAACCTAATGACTAAGCTGGACTGAAGTTGTGGCTGAAAGGTGCCAAAGACTAAATATGGAAATGCTGACAAAGCTTTTCCCAGACAAATCCTTGCTGATATAATCACAACAAGAATACAACAGATCTAGACCAACAAAGAACTAGAGAACTAAATACAAGTGATAGACTAGCTGGAGTCTAACAATAGTGAGTATATACAGGACTAAGATCACCTGATCTTAGTATAGACAAGAGTGATTTCAAGGGAGACAGTGGTCCCTGCACTTCCTGTAACAGACAGTTGAAGTGGGAATTTTTTTTTTTGCATAGTGGAGAAGAAGCCCTCCTTTTATACATTTGGTGTGGGAAAGAAACCCGGGTGCCAGATGAATATCTGGAATATCCTGCTCCACTTATTTGGTTGAAGTGGGAAATCTTTTTTTTGCACAGTGGAGAAGAAGCCCTCCTTTTATATAAATACATTGGCTACATGAGGGGTTTCATCCTGCAGTACAAAACTTGTACATTTCTGAAATTCTGCAGGAGCATTTGTGTATCCCATAGGTAAGGCTGTTAAATGCAGCAGTCTCAAGGGAGTGAGGAATGCTGTCAGATCTCGACTTTCTTGGTGCATTTTCCGTGCATCAAAGCCCCAAAATAAGTCAAAGACAGTATAACACTGACAACCTGCAAAATTTTCTACAAAGTCATCAACAATAGGAATTAGACCAGCATCACATATTGAAATTTTGTTCAGGGGCTGAAGATCATGGACTAGGCGGAGCTTTCCATTTTTCTTTAGTACACAGAACCAACGTGAGCGATATGTGGACTGGCTTGGTTCATAAACTCCTGCTTGAATCTTGGTCTTTAATAGCTCAATCACCTTCTCCCTAATTCCAGGAGGAATAGGAATATTCCTACATTCCCAGGGTATCTGGGGAACAGTAGGAATTATATATGGTGAGAAATAAGACTCCTTTAGAGTGCCTCAATCTGTCTCTTCAAAGGCCAAGGCATCTTGATTTAAATCCATGATAAGTTCAAATAATTTGACCTCCTCTGGTAACAGGAATCCTTGTGAATTAATGTTCAGACTGTCCATTTTCTTCTGAGTTAGTCTTCCATTAGGAACAAATTCTGGAGGATTAGGGGTCAAGACAGTCATGGATTCTAAAGGGTCATGAGGGAATTAACATATAACACGAGCATTTTGAGGGAAAGTACCTGAAACAGGCTTGATTTTCCTGTCAAAACGCTTTGTACATTGTCATGATAGGGTTATATGAGGGATCAGAAAGGGATGAAGCTGTACACTCTATTAGGAGGTCAGACTCTTCGATTTCACAGTGACTGATACAAATACATTTTCAAACACTGATACAAAAACATGGCTAGCAGACATAGGCAACACAAGAACAAACAAAACAGAAAGAAGGCTAGCAGACATGGGTCAAACATAAGAAACCCAAATAGAAACAAGGCTAGCAAACACAAAACAAAGCAGAAACACAAATATAAGTACAGGCCTAGCAAACACAACAGACTGACACTCATCAAATACAGATACACATGAAAGAGATGACAGAATCTGTTTTTCAGTGGTTTTGACTTTTTCAGCACAAACAAGACAAGGAAGCAAAAGCAAAAGGAGAAATGAATTAAACTGGTGCACACAAAGCTATTTTGTCTGTAGAATGATGTCAGTGCACATGCATCATAGACATAGTGAGTATTTTTCTCACTCTCAAGCCACATAGAACAGGTGTCCTCCACTGTGCTCTCCATCTTCATCATCCCTTGCTTCATTAACATAGAAGTAGTAGAATGATTGACCAGAAGAGCTGGGACGAAAGGGGCTACATGCCATCATAACAAGACAGATATGACAGACTCCCAAGGGACAATCCCGGTTTTGTGCAAAGGAAGTGATGTCATGGTGATTCTGGCCATCAAGTAAGCCAGTCTGGGTGAGGGGGGTAGACAATGTTGGAATCAGGGAAAGACATGATGAGAGCAGTTTCAATGGAGTCAGCAAGGTGGGCCTCATGGTGGAAGGCAAGTACAGCACATAGAGCAGTTAAGAACATAGTGTTGTCAGTGGTAAAGAAGGGATTGATGAGATTAAAATGACCATGATAACAGGACTCATCAATTCTCATCCCAATGTGCACTTCTCTATCACAGTTGAGTACACAAGGCTCATGATGAGCCTCTGCAAGAATACGTGATGGCAAAAGATCTTCCAGCAGAGCAAGAAGCCCTAAGGCCTGAGCTCGATGCTGAATAAGTTCATCAACACGCTCAGTCCAGTCACAGTTAGACCAAGGTTCTGGTGAGGCATGATCAAGATAGTCCCCTTGCTCACTAGGATAAGTACATCTAGCCACAGTAAGACAGTCCCAATCATGAGCACATAATTCGTTTTGTGCATTTGCAAATTGCACAAAAGCTTCAGCACAGTGCTCAATAGTTGGGGTATGAGTGTCAGATAGAGTAGGTAAGTTGGTGACTAGGTAGTCCTCAAGCATCTGATATTTATCAGGGGATGGTAGAGTTGTTGTAGAAGGATCTTCAATATTGAAGAATGAGGATATATAAGAAGGAGGAGGAGTATTGGAACCAGGAGTGTGACCATCAGAGGTAGTGGCAAGGATACAAGGGTCTCCAGATGGTCTATGAGGTGGAGGAACATAGTATTCAGGTGACAGAGTATTGCCTGAATCATTATGGGTCAACATATCAACTGCTTCAAACATACAAACATCCTCATATCTTGTAAGTGTATCCTGGGCATCAGTATGCACACTAGGATCATATTCAAGAAACCTTCAGATCATATCACCATTAGGCTCCATATCATTATAAAGCTCTCTCATAATACGAGATGAGCTATGAGTTTCTGGAGGTGAAGGAGGTGAATATGGAATGTAGGGAGGTGTAGCATAGGGTGAAGCATAGGGTGAAGCATAGGGAGGTGTAGTAATGTAGTCATCATCTTGATCCATAGGCAAAGAAGGGCCTTCAGTTTGGATAGGGGTAAGTGCTGGGGTAGGTACTGGTGTTAAAGGAACATAAGAGTTGTCATTGACTTGGGGGATAGGTGGATTATAGCTCGTAGATTGTGAGGATGATGATAACCCATAGGGCTGTGAAGAATGTAGCATGCCATTATAAGAAAAACATCCCCAAGTACTTTAGTGAATTCCTCTTCAAAGGACTGGTCTGTAGTTAACACATCTTCCTGTACACAAGTTGTTTTGCATGGCACACTAGCCCGAGGATTAATAGTGGGCTTGTTAGAGCCAATACAAATTGGTTGACATGGCTTGAGTACAGGAGGTGTAACTAAGGAGGAAGACATAGGAGGTGGGGTAGGAGTCATAGTACTCTCAGAAACCACACTAGAATGGCCTGTCTGCAATGCACAGGCTGAATCATTGGTCAGTGTGTGCATACCTGCAAACAAATAGTCAAACATACTCAAAGGTCCTGAAGACACATAGCTCAAACCATATGCATGTGCTAAATCAAGTGCAAAGTTTGGTGCTGTTGGACATTCAGGAATATTAGGGATAGTAGTGTGATTAGGGGCTTTCAACATATGAGAATCATTTGAAGACTCTTGCTTGACAAAGGAACATTCACTTGATGAAGATCGAGTCTTGAGAGATGCACTTGACTCAACCGAAAATTCGACATTCGAAGTCTGGGGCTCAACAAATGGACTTGACTCAACCAAAAAGTCAATGTTTGAAGTTCGAGGTTCAACAGATGCATTAGGTGCATGAACATCATCCAAATTGACAAACATCGAAGTACGAGAGGTGTTGAACATCAAAGGATGCGAGTCACTAAGTGTCGAAGTACCGGAGTCCTTGGGTGCTGAAAAATGAGAGTCATTGGGTGCATTAGGGGCAAAAAACGCGCTCGAACCTTGCATACTCAAAAGAGGTGCACTTCCAAAAGAGTTAGACAGAATTTCGGGGAACATCAAGTCCAAAATGCTCAAACAAGCACTTCAAAGATTTTCGGAACCCAATGAAATGTTCGAGGCCCCAAAATGCAGAGGAATACATGAAACAGGTGCATCTGGGTGCATAATGGACTTGTTATTGGAAAAAATTGAGTTAGAAGGCATTTTGGACATACCAGGCACCTCCTGTTGTCCATCCAACACATCCAGTCCTCAAAAATGTCTCTCATCTAAGTCCTGTTTGGTTCCTGAAGCGGCCAGTCGAAAAATGGAGGTGTTGAGTGCCGAATGGGAGTGCAGAGGCATGGGAAAAGAATTTGGATGTTGTTGGAGTTGTTGGACATTGTTTTGGGGGTTTGGAGTGATCAGGAATGAATTAAGAGCATCATTAGAGGTGGATGTGGGCCTAGGAGTGGGTGCCATGGTGTCCTCAGCGCTGATTGTAGCATGCAGTGTGTTGTTTGCGCATTTCAAACTCAGCCGGAAATTTCCAGAAATGGTGTCTGGGCTGCCAAACAGTCCAGGAAATGCATGGGCTAAAGGATTTTGAGACATGGGAATATGAGAGCTACTGAGAGGGTGTAAATGGGGACTAAATGGAGGCTGAAAATTGCACTGGTGATCCTCCTCTTTTATAAATAAATCAGTATCCACTTTTGCAAATGCTGATTCATTTCTGCTGACAATACCAAGAGAATGATCAACAGACCCCAAAAAGTGGTTGGGTGTAAAACTATTGCCAAAAGTGGCAATATTTTTCCATCCTACAGTGACAGAGTAACTTGTAGGTACCTGCTGACTAATCTGGATTTTCTTGTGCATAATGGAAGAAATGGGTGTTTCTCATACATTTTTCAATGAAAAATGACCAGGTAACTTTCCTCCAAGCCATGTAGATGGTTCAAAATCCCATTCTGGGTCTGTACCATCTGGTGTACACAATATTTCATACTGAACTTCCAATCCCTGAGGATCTTTAAACAAGAGCCATGTCCCATCCTTCCTTTCGTCAATAGAAACATAATTTCCACATTGCCATGGATGTCTGAGTAGGAGACTAAAGGGAACATGGTCTCCAACATATAGATTAGCTTGAGTGTGTACCCCACCACAAGTCAAGGGTACATTCTGGACTAATCCACGTAAATGTTCTTCCCTGCCATTAGCATCATTCATAGACGTGGCACGCCTAATATCAATAGGTCTATTGATAACTGTTTTCCATACATGTCGGTGAACAATATTAAGCTGACTTCCCATTGTGGTGAACACAAGATGGCTAACCTCAGGGAAACTAGCCAAATAAATGTGAGTCTATGCTCTGCCTAGCTGCTACACTTGTAAGCAAGAACATTTGATCCTAAAGGGGACTGCTACTGAGAACGGCTATGAATCTATAGGAAGTAGAGATGTGGGGAATGTAGATAGGGGTAGACCAGACACTCAGGGACAGGTCCGAAGGTATCCGAAGCGTGGGAACGGCTGAAGCGGACAGGAATAGCATGAGAACTCGGCCAATGCAAAGTGGACAAGTAAGGAAAGTGTTAAGGAAGGACTAGGTTTCAAGGGATTGAATTGCAAGGTCAAGGAAAGACTAGGTAAGATGTCCGAGTATCAGGTAACCAATAGGGGCTAAGAGTGGAACCTAATGGGTGACTACTTCAAAGTAAAACCAAAGGAAAGGAAATACCACTGAAGGGAAGTAATGTTAAAATAGTCACTACAGGCTCTTTATACTAGCTAAATCCTCTCGGACTCGGAAGGGACAGGAATAGTAGAATATGTAAGAACATGTAATAAGGCTGAAACCTTGTTACAACACGAGGCAAGTAAAAACACGTACCAGTGGAGTTTGGATGGACATGGAATTGACACGGGGCTTTCCTAAAATGGATTCTGAGCAGTCTGAAGGCGTGGGAACTCGGCCGAAGGTGATCGGAATGCGCGGGAATGGTCCGGACGCGCGGGAATAGGCTTGGGTATGCAGGAACGGCCGATGCAGCTGTGCAAAATGTCGGACATGGATGGATATGCAAGGGAAATGTGGCAGGGAGTGCTTTTGTCTATCACTGACCATCCTAAAGCATGCAGGGCGCAGGAATGCATCAGACTGTGGTTGGGTTGGCCGATGAAGGCATGGGAAATGCAGCTGATGCCTCGGCCGAAGGTTTGGGCCTAATTTGGCAATGGTAGGGAAGTGGTGAAAGATGTATGGAAGGTAGTTCCTGGATAGTTTGACCTCTATGTGAAAAAGGGCTTCTGCAAGGCTAGCCCGAGCTTGAACACCACATCCCATGGGTACTTTGCATACTGACTGTCCCCAGTCAGTCACTCTATGAAACAAGGGGTGACTGGGTGCAAAGATGGTATGTTGGTGGACAGGGGGATGAGTCCGATGCTCCTAAGTGCACGGGAACTTGGCTGAAGGTTATCCGAGGGCGCGGGAATGGTCCTGATGCAGTGCGAGAACAGCTGAAGCAGGCCGACGTGGCACAGGAAAGCGGCCGATGAAATATGCGGTCCATGGTAATGCAAAAATGCAGAGGGTATCCGAGTCCGAGTTAAGTCCAGATCCATAATGTGAGGGTAAGCGTCCCAGTGCGGTCCAATCCATGTCCAATCCTAAACCCCACCGGGTATCCTAGGTAAGAATGCTAAGGTTCAGAAGGCAGGTAAGAAAAATGCAAGGAAAACATGAAAAATGCGCTGTAATCCATGTGGACTTCCCTCTGTCTTGGTTTCTTCGGTCCTCTTTCAACTTCCGAAGGTGTGGGGACAATCTCCGAGGGTATCTAATGCACAGGAATGCGGCCGACAGGTCCGGGTCTCTAGGTAAGCAAGGTGTATGATGCTGCTTCATGTGTTAGAAGGAGAAAAAACTATCGTAAATGCAGTGCAGGCACTAGAGTCTGTAGTTCTTTGTATATCTCTTCTTCCTGGTGTAAATTCCTAATCTGAGGGTATCCGAGACTGGTCCGACCTATATGCAATGTAATCCGAAACAAAATCAAAGGGAAGGTCTCTGGTCTAAGCCCAGGGTAAAAAGAAAGCTATCCTAACGAAGAAAGGCGGTATATTTGAGGTTTATGTGAAAATGTGATATTAAGCGGGTTGTGCGGAGGGTAATGTAGGTTTGGGTGATGACAGGGGAGGTGTGTAGATGCGCGTATTGTGTCTGAGTGCTTCAGGTACTTCATCTTCTTCTCCTACGGTGGAACCCATGTCTTCTTCACTCATATAGGTAAAACACGATGCTAGCATGTGAAGGCCTGTGATACTGAATGGAAGGGTGGACTTGGGGTGTAATGCAAGGTATCCAAAGCTGGTGGACAGGGGAGTGCGACGCATCTGCAGCGATCCGCATCTTTGGGTTTCTAGTCCTATTTTGGTTAGCTTTTATTTCTGCACAGTGTCATATACCATATATCCGGTTACAGATCCGATGATCTGGATCTCAGATCCGATCCAGATCCGATGAACATATCCGTCGTCCGGTCCACAGATCCGCTTTGATTCTTATTTCATTTCCTGTTCATATAACTCTAACTATCGTTCATCTCCTTTCGGTATTCCTGTACACCGGTATACCGGTTATCCTTTACTTCCGCTATGCTTACTGATCCGCTATGCTTACTGATCCGCTACACTTACGAATCCGCTTTTACTTGTACTTCATTCCCGGTTCATGATTCGTGATCCATCCAACTTACCAATACACTCCACTTAGACTTTGCTTATTGATCATTCCGTTAGCTATCCGTAGTATATAAACCTTTGTATATGCGCTGTAGTAGATCAGTTCGAATATCATCTTAGATTGCACTCATTCCGTCTGGACTCTGAGTCCCTCCGTTATCCATCCGGACTTGAGTACGCTACTCTTGTCTACTCCGAGACTTAGGATAGATTCCTATAGTCTACATATCCGCCTCTGTCTTCGGACAGTCCTCACCCGTTAGTTTCTAGTCCGGATCCGATCCGGATTGGCCGTTACTCTATATACGCGATACTTTAGCTCTCTGAAATAAGGGGCAAGACTCGGGAAAGGGGCACAGCGCACGAGCTGAGGCCGAAGCCCTTCGGATCCGATACTACTTGAGTACGGTCTTAACAGTATATTCGAACTCATACCTTTCCGAGTTACTTAACATCTATCATGCCTCCTACCAAGACACAAACAACTCTGCACGCGGTCGGACTAACCTCCCTCCGTCGTGATCCGACACCTATAGTCAACACCTTCACCAGTTTCTCTCAGCGCCGTGTTAGCGCCCACGGAACCGCTCAAACCATATCCGAACTCCTTAATCGTCGACACCCGGAAACCCCAACACGCACTCCTGCCGTAGGACCTCCGGACGATGATGATCCCGATGATGGTGATGATGATTTCCCTGGTAATCCACCCGATGATAACGGTGGTGATCCGGATGATGATCCGGATGTTGAGGATGATGAAAATGACGGTCTAAACCCACAAGACCGCGTTATGCTTCGACTCTCAGAAGCCATCGATAACCTTGCTCGCAATAATCGTCGCGCGCCCGCATCCGAAGATTCTAGAGTCAAGGTCCGAGAACCGGATACCTTCGACGGATCCGAACCACGGAAGCTCCGTGCGTTCTTTGTCCAGTGTGAGCTTAACTTCCAGAGCAAGCCTAAGGCTTTCCGTACCGGAAGGGCTAAAGTCAACTTCGCCCAATCCTACCTTAAGGGTATGGCCCTTGAATGGTTTGAACCGGATCTCCTGTCCGATGATTTGGACGACCATCCGGATTGGATGGATGACTATTCCGTGTTCATGCTTGAACTCCAAGCCAACTTCGGGCCTCATGACCCATCCGGTGATGCAGAAATGCAGCTCGAACAGCTCCACATGCGCGATGGACAGCGCATCAACAAGTACGTTGTGGAATTCCAGCGTCTTGCTTCACAGGTTCGTGGCTGGGGCGACGGAGCCTTACGACGCCAATTCTACAACGGACTCCCGGCCCGTATCAAGGATGAAATCAGTCGCA